GGTAAAAGAGCTGCCTTCTCAGTAGAGCTGATGGGAATGACCCCGATTCCTCTTTCTAAGGCTACAGCAAAGACTTAGAGCAATTTACCAATATATTCTCTTTGAAGAAGTAATAGGCAGAGAGATAAAAAGTAGAGATGAAAAACATCATGTTAAGAATGAAAATAGCATTCAGTACTATGAAAAGCATGGATAGCATTAGAACAAAAGGCCTGAATGTAAATTACGTTATGTATGTGAAGAGATAATTGAGACATACTCTATCCTACATGTTTATGTACAAGTATGAAAAGCAAAGATAATTCTGTAAGGCAGGGTCATCTGGCAGGGAGGTTAAAAAGTCAAGAGGGCAATCACAGTTTCTGGATTGAACCCTTGCCCCTATTTTAAAAGGCAGAAGAGTGTGGCTATGATCATGGGGATGAGGTTGTCACCTTGACTTTTTTGATCATACCCCTCCATGTACAGCCCTGCTATGGATGGTCTCTTTGTGGTTCAGTTACTTCCACTTCTTTGTTACCTGAAGGACATTGTTTTGTCAGGAATATCTGGCACTAACTTGGTCTCTGAATTTTTGTAAGCTCATGTTTGTGTTTAGTAGGAAAAAAAAATCTAATCACTTTGTCCTCTCTCAGCCTCTCAATTCCCCATGCATTCTGGTACTTGGATTATATGCAATTCTCAACTACATTCAAATCCATGCATTGTAAGCGCTACATTAATATGGCTAACATTTTTCAAATGTTGCACTGAGCATGCATTAGAGAGTCAGCTTAGGCCAGTGATGGCGAACCTTTTAGAGACCGAGTGCCCAAAAACTGGCCCCGCCCCCGCTCCACCCCTTGCCCTGCCCCCACCCCGCCTGCCCGCAGGGCCACTCACCACCTCCAGAGTCCGCCGCAGATCACCCAGGCAGCCCGGCAGCACCATTGCGGCCATGCCCTCTGCCCGCGCCCCGCAGCATCAACTGTGTGCAATGGGGTGTGAGGGTAGAGTCTTGTCTACACTGCCTGGCTGCCATGTCCTTGGCTGCGCTGCTGTGTGGGCCACGCTCGGGGGTGACTGTCCTCCAGGGGGGCTGCTGGTGAGGGGGTCACAGGAGGAGGCAAGGCTGGGGCAACGGCAGGTGTGCCCACAGAGAGGGCTCCGAGTGCTGCCAATGGCACGCGTGCCATAGGTTCGCCACCACTGGCTTAGGCGTTCAGGGAAGAGAAGGTAGGAGATGCAGTCTTTTCTTCAAATTTCTTAAACTAATCAACTAGGTTATATTTTAATGCGCAGTGTCATAGAAATAACAATTTCCAAATATTTATTGTCTAATAGCTGCTCTCATTAACCATGCACAAGTAGGAAAACAACCAGTATTTATTTTGTTTGCAAACAATAACATTTGATCAAATGTGATGCCTCACAGCAAACAGGTTATGTGAAGAGCATCTAATGCAGGGGTGTCAAACTCGCAACATCATATGACGTGTTGCAACGTATCGTGACTTTTTTTCCATTGCCGACAATGGGGTGGGTGCGGTTTCACCATGATGCACCCAGCCCGTGGGCCGGCAGTTTGACACCCCTGATCTAATGCAAAGTAACCTAAATTCATATACCAAACAATAAGCAAGTACTGTACAATTCCATCATTATAAGATGTAATAGTTTTTACTACTGATCTTTAGGTTTCAAGTTTCCTCCAAACTGCTATGAATTTACCTTTATATTTTCCAAAACTTGCTATTTAATATTTTCCTACTAATGCTGATACCATCTCTAACAGAAAGTGAGCAAAACTGGTGTTATGTATATAGGGGCAGAAATATTAGAGGTTGCTTTTGCCAACCTTACATATGTAGTTTTCTTAAATGTGAGCCCTACATTGGGATGTTATCCCAGGAAATTATTTCAGGACAGCGATATTTATTTTTTATTTTTTAAACCCATATACATTTATAGCTT